TGGCTCCTTTTCCTCTGACTGTTGAAAGAGTCAGGAGTACTTTCCTGAAGTGAGAGTATTCTGTCCTTTGTTCTACCTACTCCCCTGATACCCATCTCTGGTGTATCCACCTACTTGGATGGTCCTAACGACACCCACACATAGCAAGGGAAATCAAACCCTTGTAAGAAGTCAGACCTTACAGGCTGTTTCTTTGCCCTCGGGCTACTGACAGATGCTGCAAATTAAACACTAGCAAAAGGGAGCTTATCATCTGTCCCTTAGAACAGCCCCCTACCCTCCTCCTATCATCTTTGATTTATTTCTATTGCCCTGTCACCCTTAAGTCCTTTCTTGAACCTACCTTCTGCCATCCTGACTGTCTACATTGCCACACTCCTTCAGGTCTTCTCCCATTGAAACTGTTTTAGCCCTTTATCTGGTCTCTATGAGTCTTGTCTTAACCTCAGAAATCATCTTTCCATTAGCTGCTAGGATAACCTATTTAAACCATAAATGTGATCATGTCTTTTAATCACTTTGGAAAAAAGTTGGCATTTGAATACCAACAAATAATATTGTTGGTATGCAATAAGTAAGTCTGTATGTAAACTTATCACTTTGGTAGAAATGCAATATAGAAAAGTATTTAGCTAGGGGATGGTGAGGTGGGAGCAGTGGGAATAAGAAGAGGCTGGATAAGAAGATAGCACAGTGGGTAAGGCGTTTGCCTTGCACGCGGCCAACCCGGGTTCGATTCCCAGCAACCCATATGGTCCCCTGGGCACTGCTAAGGGTAATTTCTGAGTGCATGCGCCAGGAGCAACCCCTGTGCATTGCTGGGTGTGACCCAAAAAAAAAAGCGCAAAAAAAAAAAGTGTAAACTTTTAATTTAGAATGAATAAGGCCCGAGGAGCTGATGCCAATTACTGGTAGTTGATAAGATCATACTGTATTATTAAATTTGATATGAGTGTAGAATTTAAATGTTCTCTTTCTCTCTGACACACACACACACACAAACACACAAATATACATACAGCCTGGAAGATGGATCATTGGATTAAAGCCCTTGTCCAGCAAGCACAAGGCTGTGAGTTCAAACCCAGTTGTTGCCTACACTTGCTAAGGCAATCTTGACTCCTAGCAAGAAAAGACCCAGAGATGCTTGGTAGTTTAGGACACACCCAGGGCAAAACCAGGCTATGACTTGAGCCCCAGTGCTGTGCATGCTTGAGAGGGTTAGACTGACACATGATGTGGGGTAGCATCAAGAGAGGGAAAAATACACACATACAAATATATCTAAACACTGTACACATATGTACATACAGATATACCTAAATACTGTACATATATGTATATAAAAATGCAACTACATATACATATATTTGAAGTGATGGGTGTATTAAAGAAATAAATGGGGCAAAATCCTTTCACAATTTACATAAATACCTAGCCACTTAAATATATACTTTTAATATCTTACACGTTTATATGTCAACTCTTTACCAAGCTGAAATTTAAAAACTCATTACTCTACATTGTATATTATTATTCTTTCTGCTTTTGCTAATATTGTCTTGCAATAGAACTTCTGATGAATCCTCCTAGTTCTATATGTCCAAATTCATTCTTACAGATCATTATTAGACACTCCGCCTTCAATCGCTGTCTCTGATTTATCAGACTGGGAGATATGTATCTTTACTATGTTTCCCTAAAACTCTGAACGTTCCTCTGTAACTGCTTTCCCTACATTGTTGAATATCTTGTCTCCTTATTCTTTCTGGGAGATTGAGGTGATTTGTTTGGTTTTTGCCCGTTTCTAACATCTGGCAAAGAGCTTGCCCTACACCAGACCCTAACTTTTTTTACTTGAATAAATGAATAAGTGCATTCCCTATGGGAAGCTACACAGAATGGGTAACATTATAAATTTATACTTGAGATAAAAAAGTAGAAAAACCATGTTTAATTCAACAATGCATATTTTATAAATGCATAGAAACCAGGGCACTGCTTTTAAGAGATTCTTGAATATAGAAAACAAAGTACATTGTCTCCAAGGAGTTTCCTTTTGGTGTGGGAAGGAGTAGAGGTGCTGAATGTGAAAAGGAATCTGAAGAAGAGTAATTTCTCAGGTTGCCTGGGAATTATAGGCTTGCTCGGTTATTGAAGGACATTGCTTTGATTTGGAATTTCTGGGTTATGGGAATAGTGCTCACATATGAAAGGGGGGTATGAGAAGATAAGGGGAAATTTAGTTTCTAAATTAAATCCACTGGGAAAATACACCCTAACTAGAAAAAGGAAATGAAACCTACGGAAAAGACTGCCACTGGCCATGCTCATCAAGTAGCAAACACTTTTCTGAAATGTTTGCATTAATGCTTTTGTTGGCACCTGTTGTCACCTAATGCCAGGAGCCACAAACTCAGTCATCATTAATAAAACCTCCACTGTAACAATACTTCATCCCTCTACCCTTCTTTTCCCCTGAGCCTCAGGCACATGGCTCATTAATGCTCAAGGAATTATCCTTTATGAAGATAGGGGACATTCCTTATCTTTCCCATTGCAATAAACTGTTCACTTTTCTTTAAAGCAGATTGATTTTGATTGAGCCATCATCTGTTCCATATGATTGGTTTGGGCTTGCCTAAATATGGATCACATTCCTTGGCCCAAAGTAGACATGGGACATCTCCTCAGTATGTGCTACAATTCACTGAAATTATACTTACTTTGTGTCTAGAAGGACTTTTTTTAAAAAAAATTTTTATTAGTGAATCATCATGAGGTACAGTTACAAACTTACAAACTTTCGTATTTCAGTCATACAATAATTGTTTACCCATCCCTCCATCAGTGCTCATTCTCCTCCACCAATGTTCCCAAGATCCTTCTCACCACCTCCACCCACTCCCCCAACCACACCCTGATTCTGTGGCAGAGCATTCCCTTTTGTTATCTCTCATTTTGGGTGTTGTAGTTTGCAATAGAGGTATTGAGTGGTCATCGTGTTCAGTCTATAGTCTACTTTCAGCACCATCTTTCAACCTGAATGGATCCTCCCAACGTCCTTTCCTTGGTGTTTCCTTCTCTATCTGAGCTGCCTAGAAGCACTTTTTAAGCCTTACATGTTCCTTTGGAGGAGAAGAGCCAGGTTACAAGACTTTTTTTTCCCTCACTCTTTATGAGGCTCAATTTACGAACCATAATTTATGACATTTAGGAAGTAAATTTGAAGTAACAGAAGAGAGTAGAAAGTAAATATCCTGAGAGTAGTGTTCAGAACAGGCCCCAAATGGAATCTCAGATCCTAAATCCACATCACCAAAGACTTAATTTTACAGCTTTGCTCTCCCAGAAATGGAAGCCTCAATCAATCAGTAATAAATCACTGCATCAGGACTGGTTAACTCTAATTAGGTAACCCGAGAGACTCCTGCTATTCTGCTATAGAAAGTAACCTCAAAATAACCCACCAGAGACACACCTTCCTGTTCCTGCCCTCATCTGCCTATCAAAGTCTTTCATTTTACACAACTCCTCAGCGCTACTGCCCATCTGCAAGTGGGATATTGCCCAGATCATGAATTGCTGAAAATGCTCATAAGACCTTTAAGCTTTACTCAGTTGATTTTGTTTACCCTCCGAGAGGAGGGAGGGAGGACTGACAAGGCTGGAGGAGGGGAAGGGAGGATCGTAGGTGAAATCGACAGCACAGATGCCCTCACAGATCTGCCTAGAGTGGCTCAAGGATCTGGGAGTCACTGCTTTGCCAAAAATTGTAAGAAAAATCTTGCCATTTCCCCTTCTCTGTAATTTGTTGGAGAGATTCTTTTGACTTTTCTAAATTTATCCATATTCTCTTTATATTACTTAGAACCATCACATCTGCAGCAAATATACTTAAGCTTTTCTCTCATTCATATATTTCTCCAAATTAAAATACTTGATTAAAATTGTTTAATGCAATTTTTAAGAAGTGTGCATGATTGGGGCTGGAGCGACAGCACAGCACAGTGGGTAGGGCATTTGCCTTGCACGCGGAAGACCTGGGTTCGATTTCCAGCATCCCATATGGTCACCTGAGCGCCACCAGGAGTAATTCCTGAGTGCAGAGCCAGGAGTAACCCCCGAGGATCGCTGGGAGTGACCCAAAAGGGGAAAAAAAAAAGAAGAAGTGTGCATGATTTACTTTAGTTCATTTTTTCTTTCTTTCTTTTTTTTTTTGGTTACACCTGGAGATGCTCAGGGGTTACTTCTGGCTCTGCACTCAGGAATCACTGCTGGTGGTGCATGGGGGACCATATGGGATTCAAGGGATTGAACTCTGGTGAGCCATGTGCAAGGCAAATTCCCTACCCACTATACTATCACTCTGGACCTTCAGTCCTTTTATTTTGTCTTTTTCTGTTTATCTTTCGGATGCTCCTGGCTGTGCTTAGGGCTGATTCCTAACTTAACACTCAGGGTTCAATACTGAATGTGCTCAAGGGAAAAAATGGGATGCAGAGGATCAAACTCAGCTTGGCCTACCCTCTACTCTCACTCCAGCCTTCAGTAACACTTGTCATGTTCCCTAAGATTTACTTGTCTTTAAGGTGTATCAACATAGTGCCTCCACATGTGATATGTTCAATAAATACTTATTAAAAACATTTAATAAGATAGTTATATTTGAAAAATAAATGGCTAAACTGCTTTTCAGATTGGGAGAAAAGAAGGTTGGGGTCCCAATAATTGAAAAGTTTTCTACGGCATAAAAGCAAAGTACAATGCAAATTATCATCAAACACACATCCTCATTCTATTTAAACTAGAAACTAAAATCTTTTTTTCACTCTTTAACTCTGCTAGGCATATTAATTGGATGTGAAAATTTGGAAAGGCTTTTAGAAGATACTAATAACAGTTAATCCAGAAAGTGATGTTAAGAGTAGGATGTATAAAACTCAGAAAGATAAAAAGACCTTTTCATTTTCTAAATATCGATGATGAAAAACACTCACCCCATTTGGATTGTTGACCCCAGAAATGAGGGTATGCAGTAATCAGCAGCTGCCAGTGTGTATGGTGGCCGTGCAGCGGAATCGTCCCAGTAAATGTCCTTCTTCATCTTGGGTAGGCTCATGTGCATTTCATCCACAGCTAGAAGAGAGACCTGAAACCATCATGACACTGTCAGAATAATTATCTGTGACTTGTAGATAGCATGAGCTGCAGTGAGTGGATGGGATTGGGAAGGGATCAGAATTATCTGAATAAATGATATATAAACATCTTCAGTGCATATTTGCACCAACCAGGGTTCCCCTAGAGAGTCCACTTGTTCAAGAGTTGAGTGAGGTGGTGAAGCCTCCTACACCTGTTTCCTCAAGCCTCCTGCCCCAAGGTAGAGCTGCTTTCCTTCTCTCTGCTCAGTTATTATGGATTCCCTGACAATAACCCAGAATCCCACCCCTGGGAGGAGGAAGATTCTTCATATTCTGTCCTGTTGACCCTCTAGACACATTTATACTTGATACAACTTCTTACATGACCTAAATTTATGTTTGTTTGGACAAACATAACAACAAGCATTCACTGGGAATATTGTGGTCTCTTTTGATTTTGACAAATTGGTGCATGATAACTTATTACTCCTTCGGGAATTCAATTTTTACAAAGAGTAAGTGGCTGGACATTATGCTTCCTCTAACAGACCCCGGTAATTTACGGTAAGATCTGTGAACCTGTTTAAGAGTTGAGTATTGGTTTGAAGCAAATAGACAGTGGGAGGCTTTTGCACAGTGTGTGTTTCTCAGGGAAAAGACTGATCTAAGTCAGAGGTTCTTAACTGATTTATACCTGTGCACAAGCACTGGTCCGTGATTTGAGGAATGATAGTGGAAGCCCATTGACTTAAGTCTTCTTGATTTAAAGGAAATTATTACTGGTGCTTCATGAAGACTCTCTCTGAGGATTGAGAGATGCTCAATGAGCTGAGCACAATGCTTGGCATATAGGAAGCTCAGGCTTGACTCCCAGGACTCCATCTAGTTCTCTGAGCATCTACAGGAGCAATTTCTTAGCACAGAGCCAGAAGTAGTCCCTGAGCACCACTTCCAGTGGTGCTCAAAACAAAATAAAGCAAAACAAAAATCTGGTTCTGGATTAATACTTCAGAATAAGCATTCTGGGACTCTTATGGTATAATTGGGGCAAATTAAAGGTGGGTTGGTGTGAGTATTCTCCATGCATCCAATTGCTGGGCATTTGACTCCAGGGACCTAAGTCATGGATCTTCAAACTCAGACTGTGTCTGGCTGCCTTTTTTTTTTTTTTTGTCACCATGAAACTTTCTGGAGGTATCAGAAAACTTAAGTAATCAATTAAAATGACACTCCAGGGGTCAAAGAAATTATGCAGTAGATAAGAAACTTGCTATACTTGAAGCTGACCCAAGTTTGATCCCCGGCACCCCATATTGTCTCTCAAACCTTACCAAGAGCGATCCCTGAGTGCTAAGCCTGGTATAAGCCCTGAGTACTGCCAGGTGTGGCTCATCCCCAAAATAAACCCCTGAGAATGCAACTCTGTTCTATAACAGAAGAAACTGGGTGGAGTTGATGAAGAGACTTACACAGAAAACTGGTTTGCAGTTCTATTTGAAAAGGACTAATTTCACTCTAGAACCTGAGATCCTAAGACTATAGGTTGCCAAAGAAACAGGGACAACATACAGCACAGTCCAACCTTTCCCTTGAGGGGAAAGCTATGAAATTCAGGATCCTGCATTCAGAATTTGTTCCCTTGAGACACCCTAAGTTATTTCTCATTAATGTCATAAAGGAAAGAAATATGATCATTGTATAATTGAAACCCAAGCACAAAAATTGAAAGTCTACAACTGTACCTCATGGTGTCTCACTAATAAAAAAAAAGGAAAGAAATACTTCTCTAACCTGTAGATTTCTGTCGATGCACCAGTTAGTTTCAAAGTCATCATCGTCTTCTCCAAAAGGGTTGATCAGCTGCTCCGCTACCTGCAGTCGAGAACACAGAAGCAATTGAATATTATGCTTCTGAGGACAGAGACTGGAGGAGGCAGGTCCTCTCTCACTGCTTGCTTCTTCTCTTTCTTTACAATCAGTATTTTACAGAATAGGCAATATTGCTTAACATCAGAGATGATCACTAAGAACCAGAACCAACGATGGGGCTCCCTGTCAGCAACTAATTAGATCCCTAGAGTGACAGGACAAGCAAAATGGAGAGAAAGATATGTTGGTTCACCCTGCTTTCTTCTGTTACTTTCAGACTAGGAAGTCTGGGGGAGAGTAGGTTGTCCCAAAGATGCACATATTTATCACAAAATGAGATTCGTCTGGAAGGGTAAGCCTGCATGGGCGTACTCTCCAAAGGGAGCTGTTCGTTCAGTGGGAGGCTGTGTGGCCCGACCCAGAGAAGCTCTGCATTGTTTAGGAGTCAAATGACTGATTTACCAGTCCAAGGTCAAACTGGTGACTCTTGAAGAAGTATGAACTATGTGCAAGTCTGTTAAGGGGCATCTACTATGCTCACAAGGAACTGGCAAATGTTCAGATGATGAGACAGAACATTCACAGTGTGAGAAGGTTATACAGCAAACACAGACTTAAATAATAATTAAGGAATATGGTACAATTATTGGATAAACTCCAAGCGAGTAAGAAAGCCAGTAAGTCATAAAGCTGGAATTTGAGTCTTAATTTTACCCTAAAGGGTGCTCTATTATTTAGTAAGTTAGTTTTTTCTGGCAAATGCTTAGTAGTTTCTTTTCATGTATCTTATAATCTTTGGTCAATATGAAATGTTCTTACTATGTTGCTGAATTGAATAGCTTTGTCAATGAGAAATTTATATGCCAACTCACCTGTTATTTTCCTTATTGAATAATTCACTTTTATTCTCTTTCCCAACTCTCTCTTCTTTTCTTCTTCTCTTTCTTTCCTCCTGCCTGCTTATCCCCCCCTCCACCTGCCCTTCCCCCATCCTGTGTTTATACTGGGACTATATGGGAAAAAATTTCAAGTGGAGAAAGAAACCATTGACTCATTGAGTTTCTAGATTCTGATTCATTGGGCAGAATTTTTTATTTTTATTTTTGAGGAGTAAGTCTTACTTCTGAGAACAGTTGTTCTCAACCAAAACATGGCTGAACAGAATAATCAGCTGGGGGAGCTTATCAGGATGATGTCTTGGCTCCTTTCTAGAAATCTAGAAACCTGGGAGTGATTTGAACCCAGGTATCAGTACTGAATAAAACTCCCAGCAGATTGTACTAAGTGGCCAGGGTCGAGAAGTACTGATTTAGTGAAGCACATCTCTGCATTGTAAGGAACAGGCCTCTACAGGGCTTGATCACCAACCACCATCTGTATGGAATAACCCATGTCAAACTCCTTTTGGATTGTGACTGCAACTTCCAATGTGCTAACTACCCTTTCTTGCATGGGGTTTCTCTTTGAGTAAATGGGCTACTGATGAATCCAGAAAATATTTTTAGGATCACTTTGTTATGTCTTAACTTTCACTTTGATGGCACAATGTCTTGTACATAGTCTACATTGAATTACTGAATGGCTATCTACATTTTTGAATTGATTAGTTCACAAAAATATCTTTTATTCTCTTGAAGACTGTATTTTCTGCGAATAAATGAGTAATGCACTGTTCTATAGAGTTAAATGGTTTCCCTACAGTTGGAAAAGATGTATAAATACCATACTAGAATGGTCAAGTTAAAATGGATATTTAGAAATTGAGACACTCCCCTTGATTGGGAAACCTACCCACTTAGCTTGGGTTGGCTCTCAATGGAGCCTAGATTTTCTCTCCTTCCTTCCTTCCTTCCTTCCTTCCTTCCTTCCTTCCTTCCTTCCTTCCTTCCTTCCTCCCCTCCCCTCCCCTCCCCTCCCCTCCCCTCCCCTCCCCTCCCCTCCCCTCCCCTCCTCTCCTCTCCTCTCCTCTCATTCTATCCTTCTTTCTTTTTTCCCCATTTTTTGACACACCCAGCTATGCTCAGATGTTATCCCTGGCTCTGCACTCAGGAATTACTCCTGGCAGTGCCTGTGGGACCATATGGGATGCTAGGGATTGAAATTGGGTCGGTTGCATGCAAGGCAAGTGTTCTACCCTTGTACTATCGCTCTTAACCCTGGACCCTAGATTTTCTTTCCAGATTTTGCCTTTGAAAATATTTTACAAAGGAAAAAGATATTTAATATTTTAGAAAGCATGGTAGAAGAATGCTAACTATTCCTCACAAGGCGGTCAATCACTAAACGATAAAAATGCAGAGTGAAAAAAGAATAAAAACACACAAAGAATAAAAATAAAGAACTAAAAACTCAACCCAACTCAGGGAAAGGGTAGCAAAAGACCAGAATGCGTATTGGGTTAATTGCTGGTTTTTTTTCCTTTCTGGATATAAAAGCAGAGTATACCTTTTTCTCCAAGGGAAAATGAGAGCTATTAGTCTTTCTTGCTGTTTCTCTCTTAAATGGGTAAAAATAATTAAGAGTCACTGTCATCTGGTTAAAAAATGTTTTTGCCATTTGAAAAGGACATGCCTTCTCTCTTTGGAGTGCAATTTGAAATGCCAACCTATTTGTTTTTTAAGTAAAGGCATCTGCAGGGAACCACACAGCTGAAACAGGGATGCCTTGATGACGCATATGCCAACATGTGGCTGCTTGGAAGGTAAAACCTGTCAGCATCATATTTTCTGAAAGTCATTTTTAAACTGCCACTAGATTTGTCTTCCTTTCATTTTTAATTACATATCTGTCTGAGACATAGAGGAAAAGGAAAGGAGAGAGAGAGTGATTGAGAGACGAAGAGAGGAGAGAAAGGAGAGAGAGAAGAGAGGAAACAGAGGGAGAGAGGGAGAGAGAGGGAGAGGGAGAGAGGAGAGAAAAATTCTCTGATAGTTTCATCTACATATAGGGAGGGATGTGAAGAGGGGGACCTTGTGTGTGAGAGAACAGGTAGAAGTCTACACCAATGACTGGATGAGTTGCTCTCACCACAATTACATAAATGTTGTCATTAACCTTAATGTTTCTCGTTTTGATTCTGATCAATTCTCTTTTGTTTGCCTGTTTGAAAGCCAACCCAGAAGTGCTCAGGATTTACTCCTGGCTCTGTACTCAGGGATCTCTTCTGGAGGTGCCTGGGGGACCTTATGTGGTCTGGGGATCAAACTTGAGATGGTTGTGTGCAAGGCACTTATGTACTATCTTTGACCCCCAGTCAATTCCTTTCTGAGTCTCAGTTCTGGTTTTGAAAATGAGATGCATTTAATGAGGGATTTTAGGAAATTGAAACTATTGAGAGGATTGATGTAAGACAATCATAATACTTGAATCTGATATATAATGCTTCTTATTTACTGTACTTAACAGCTTTTTGTTGTAAAATATCAATGCAAAATACAGTTGTCACTTTAATTACATTATCAAAATCCTAACGAGCACACAGTGACTTAAAAGCAAAAACTATGAGAACATTCTTGTCATCTTTTTGCATAAACAAGCTGCTTTAGACTGTGGTACCACTGACTCCCTGGGACTTTTATCTGATGAAAACTAATCAACATCGCTGAGCTATTACATGTGAAATCTACCTTGGAATCATTCCCAAATGCTTTATTAAAGATTCAGTTAAGGGTTAGTGTGCAAAGTTTAAGACATGCTTGAGATGACAGAGTGGCTTTTAGTCACCTTGAGCCAACCAGCATAAAAGACAAATTGAAGGAGAGTGAAAACTGGAATGTAGAGATCTAAGTCATGCCCAGCATAGCCCTTGGTGGGATCCAAAAACTGCCGTCCAATCAGGCAGGCAACAAAGAAGGTATAGACAGCCAGAGTGACAACCTAGAAAAGAGAAAAATCCAAGTGAGAACATAGCACTGGCTGCCTAGAACAAACTAGAGGATGCCAAAGGGCAAGTTGAAATATAAATCACATGCAAAGTATTTAATACCTGAGTGTAAACCAGTGGGATCCCAACCCAGTCATAACCGAATAAGAGGCTGCACCAAGAGCGATAGCGGTTCATTTCCTAAGCAGAAACAGATAAGACACAATTCACTAAAATGATGGGTACAGGAATAATATTTACTGAGTCTCAGAATGCGGCCACTTCTTTTGTGAATATGTCTGTAGAGGTGAGAACAGCTTTGTAAGGTTAGTAATGGTGTCTGAAGGGCATTCCCAAAGGAAAATTCTGAAAACGACAAGCAATGAATGTCATTCAATAAAATGCAGCAAGGATAGTACAGTAGATCTATTTTTAACATTAAAATAAACTTGAATTTTATAATAATGGCCCTTATTCTATTGGATCTATTATTTATTTACTTTTCTAGGAGTGATTTTGGGGCCACACCTAACCTATGCTCCGGACTTATTCTTGGCTCAGGCAGTTCTTGGGGTAACATTGATGGTGCCAGACATACTGATTAGACTTGCATGTATGTAAGACTAATGCCTTATCTGCTATACTATTTTAAGGACCCTGAATCTGCATTTCCAACAAGACTACTGGACCACATATGATGTAAAGGTATTGATTAAATTTATTTGATTAAATTAAGTAATTAATTTATTTATTGATTTGGAGCCCATGCCTGGTAATGTTCAGGGGTTACTCCTGGTTCTGCACTCTGCTCTACTACTTCTGGCAGCAGTAGTCTGGGGGACAATAGGGAATGCTGGGGATTGAACACTGATTAGCCGTGTGCAACACAAAGTGCTCTACCCATTGAACTATCTCTCCAGCCCCAATGTGACTGATATTTTAAATGAGCAATTTGTAGCATTTTTGTAAGTTTGGAGGATAGATTATTTTTATTTATTTTTGAAAACATGCCATTTCTGGATTTTATAAAACAATGAATACATCTGAGATCTTCCCCTTAATAAATGAGGACTTTAGGAATGTTTCTTTTCTTTCTTTCTTTTTTTTTTTTTTTTGCTTTTTGGGTCACACCTGGCAATGCACAGGAGTTACACCTGGTTCAGGCACTCAGGAATTACTCTTGGCGGTGCTTGGGGGACCATATGGGATGCTGGGAATCGAACCTAGGTCGGCTGCATGCAGGGCAAATGCCCTACCCGCTGTGCTATTGCTCCAGCCCCGGACTTTAGGAATCTTATATTAACAGAAAAGTCAATCTTTGGAGCAGGAAAAGGACTGGGATTCATTGATTCCCGCAACCCCCCCCCCCACCAGCCCCAATTGAACATAAGTTATTAACTAAGACTGGGTAAAAATGTTTACATTAATTTGGAATCTGTTTTTTAAATTATTGGTTCCTAGTCTAATCCAGGCAAGAGACTGCTGTGGTAGCCAAAATCTCTTTGGTCTTACATACATTTTTTTTTCAGATAAACTCAGGATTATTTCATTTAATGAAAATCCAGTTTTGCTTCCTGGAGTACCTGAAAAATGGGTTTATACTCAGGATAGCCCAAATTTGGGAAGTTGATTGGGGAAACTCACTTCTATTCCATAGTTTTACCTAGGAGTCTGGTGCCAAGAACAGCAGCAAGTCTATTGCTTGGGTGTCAGATCCTTAGAGCTCGTGGCAGATGCTGCTCATCGTTCAAAGGATGCTTCCTTTCTGAACCTAACACAGAGCCTAACCTGTTAAAAACAGGGCTTCCAAACAAGCAATCGATTTGAGCTCAATTCCGCATGCCAGCTCTGTCCTGCATGCTGATGGTTCTGATGCTAGTTCAGTCGTCCCAGGACTTTTGGTACAAGAACCACGTAGTGGATTCATTCGGGTCTGACCTTCTTTTTTTTTTTTCTTTTTTTTAAATTTTATTTTATTAGTGAAGCACCATGAGGTACAGTTGTAGATTTACAAATCTTTGTGCTTGGGTTTCGGTCATACAATGATCAAATACCCATCCCTCCACCAGTGCCCATTTTCCACCACCATGGATAATATCCCCCCCCACCCCCTCTTCCCACCCTGCCTCTGTGGCAGGGCATTTCCTTTTGTTCTCTCTTTCCTTTTGGGTCGGGTCTGACCTTCTTGTGCAGGTCTCTCTTGGTCGCTACTGAATACATCTGATTGATGGCTATAATGTACTCACCGTCATCAAGGACTGCAGGTCAACACTGTCTCGGATTCTACCTTCTTTCCGGGCTTTTGCGGCGAGATTTCCGAACCAGATAAATGGAATCCAGTATTTCAAATGAGGGGATTTGAGATGGTCAAACAATTTCCTTTCATCAGCAGTCATAAAACCTTCGCACAAAACAGAACACGGCAAGATTGTATAGACTTGGTGTGGCACTAACACAATGCTGTAAATATATGTGTCTCTGTGAACACAATGGGGGAATAGTACTAGTTCCACCTCAAATGGTTTATGTTTGTTTTAAAAATAAGAAATATGGGTGGGATGAGGTGATGCAGTGATAGTACAGCATATAGAATGCTTGCCTTGTACACAGCTGACCTGGGTTCAATCCCCAGCACCCCAAATGGTCCCCCAAGCCTCTGAGCGCAGAGCTAGGAGTGAGCTCTGAGCAGTGCCAGGTGTGGTCCCCTCAAACCAGAAAACAACAACAACACAAAGGAATGTGGTACCAGAGAAATATTAGAAGGGTGAAGGTGTTTTCTTTTGGTGCTGATGAGCTTGTTTGATCCTGGGCACCACATGGTCCCCTGAGCATCACTGCCTCCCTCCCCTGCCCCCCCAGAACACCCCAGGGGTCCATGTAATCCCTGGCACAGGTGGGCCCTGGCAGCAATGCCTCCCAAGACCCTTTCATTGGACCACCTGCCTGTCTGACTGAGGATCATTGGGAGGGCCCCTGGGCCTCTTGAGCACTGCTTGGGACATCCAAGGAAAAGAAGGAAGAAATATGGGGAGGGGGATGTCAGCATTTGGCTCAAAGTTGAGGAGCACATGCTCAGCACGTCCGAGGCCCTGAGTCCAGTTCTGGCACTGTATGGCCTTCATCTGGGCTCTGGACAGAGCACACACCCAGCTCTGCTGGTTCCAGGCACTGTTGGCTCTGAGCATCCTACTGCTGTGTTCACACCACCTGGCCTGGGGGCAGCCACCACCGACGCTGAGTGTCGGCCCCACAAATTCCTGAAACATTAAAGTAGCACTATTATACATTGCAATGTTGAAATTGAAAAAAATTATTGAGCAATTCAAGTGGTACAGAAATCTAAAATAATGAAACTGAAGATTTTCAGACAGGCTTGGTGTTTAGAAGTACAAATGCTGGTCTACTGTATTCACATCTATTAATGACGTTTATTATTCATTTATATCCTGAAAATAATCTTTGGTTATTAGAGCAAAGCAATATTAATTTTGGCTATATACTAGTTAATTATAATACTATTTTATTTTAATTATAATTATCCATATTTTGAATAGGAATTTAAATTAAAACATCTTTGTTATTAAAAATAATGCTGCAATGGCTATCTTTGTACTTATCCCTTTTTATTTTATTTTATTTTATTTTGTTTTTTGGGTCACACCCAGCGATGCACAGAAGTTACTCTTGGCTCTGCACTCAGGAATTACCCCTGGCAGTGCTCAGGGGATCATATGGGATGCTGGGAATTGAACCCAGGTCAACTGCGTGCAAGGCAAATGCCCTACCCGCTGGGCTATTGCTCAAGGCCCCCCTTTTTATTTATTTATTTATTTATTTTGCTTTTTGGGTCACATCCGGTGATGCTCAGGGGTTACTCCTGGCTCATGCACTCAGGAATTGCTCCTGGCGGTGCTCGGGAGACCATATGGGATGCTGGGAATCGAACTTGTGTTGGCCATGTTGCCTGCGTGCAAGGCAAATGCCCTACCCGCTGTGCTTTCGCTCCAGCCCCTCCCCCTTTTTATTTTAAATGAACCTTTTTTTTTTGTTTTGGGACCACACCTGACGGTGTTCAGGACCTATTTCTGTCTCTTCACTCACAGATTACTCCTGGCAGTACTCAAGGGACCACATAAGGTACCAGGAATCCAACCCGGGTCAACCATGTGCAAAGCAAGCATGCTACCCACTGTCCTATCTCTTCAGCCTCATGCTTCTTCTTTTTCCTTAATTTTTGGCAGTGCTCAGGGATTCCTCCTAGCTCAGTGCTCAGGAATCACTCAGTGCTCAGGGACCATAATGGGTGTTGGGGATTGAACCCAAATTGGACAGATGCATGGCAAAAGCCCTACCCACTGGATTACTCTTTAGCCCCTAAATGAGTGTTTAAAAATTATGATTTAGTCTAAATGGTGTTTTCTTACAAAAGTTTATTTCTTGATTAAAAAAAAATTTTTTTTTTTTGCTTTTTGGGTCACACCCAGTGATGCACAGGGGTAACTCCTGGTTCATGCACTCAGGTATTACTCCTGGTGGTGCTCGGGGAACCATATGGGATGCTGGGAATCAAACTCAGGTCGGCTGCATGCAAGGCAAATGCCCTACCCGTTGTGCTATCGTTTCAACCCCTAAAAACTTATTTTTTTAAACAGAAATATAGTGGACATAAAGTATTAGTTTACTTTCACATGTACACCATACTAGCTCAACCTTTGTATACATTGCAAAATTATCACCACAGTATGTCAACTCACCATCTTAGTAACTTTCAAGTTTTAACACCATATTATTATCAGCCCTATGCTGTCTGTGTATTACATGGCATAGAGTTTTTTATTTTGTGACCAGAAGTGAAACTGACTTTTGTTAAATAATTTTTAGTTATTATTGTTTCAGAAATGCAGATTTGCAGATGGCATTCAGATAATACATTTCAGATGATAATCAACTTCTTGCCTTAATGTAGCTCATTTTCTATCTTTAACCAGTAATCAATTTACAGTAATCACTTTATTATTCTGATTATTTTGTTTAATCTTCCTTTTCACTCTTCAGACCCAGCGTTAAGTGGGGTAGCTCTATAGGGAACACTGTAAAAGAAGTGAGATCAATGCCTGCTTTCAGAGTCGAAGTGCTCTGGAGTTTCTTAGGTCTTTGAAATAACCCATGCCCGCATTTCTGAGAGTAAGCACCACGAATTATGCACAGTATTTGAGTCACCTGTAATGGTTCTTAAACCAAGAGGGAGGTGGGCTGGGCTTCTCCCTTGTGATGACGGCGTCAGTAGTGCAGGGAGCCTCAACACAGACCTGTGCTTTAGTTCCTTGTGGTACTTTCATTATTATTTTTAACTCAAAGTTTTTTTTTTTTGGGAGAATGTTCACACCAAGGTGTGGTGCTCAAGGGCTACTTCTGGCTCAGTGATCAGAGGACAACCTAGTGTGGTGCTAGAGATCCAACGGGTGTCTCCCAGATGCTAAGCATGCATACTACTAGTTCTTGCACTTCAGCACTGATGCTTCCTAAAATACCACCTAGGAGTTGGAGAGATAGTGCAGTGGGTAGGGCATTTGCTTTGCATGTGACTGACCCAGGTTTGATTCTCGGCACCCTCTCTGGTCCCCTGAGCCTGCCAGGAATGATCCCTGAGCACAGAGCAGGAGTAAGCCCTGGGCACCATCAGATGTGGCTCCAAAACCAAACCAAACCAAACCAAACAACAAAAAATAGAATATATCCACGTCTGGGGGTTATCACCAGATTCTGATTCAACTGTTGATGTCTAGGCATCAGCATTCATTTCTTTCTGAGAAACTTGGTGGAGTTTGGTCTAGACAGTTACATGTTTATTTGTCAAGTGCTACATAGCAATGCTTAAAAGTCACTGCCTATAGAAGGAGGATTCTGTTTGTTTTGCATTTGAACTCAATATTTGAATAAACTTAAGAACAACTACATTGCCAATATCAACCAACAGGAGAACAACAAATGAGAATTCTCTTATTTCTTTGTGTATCTCAAAGTTGTTGTGTGATCCAGATAATCTACCCCCACGACACTTCCAATTCAGAAAGACTTAAAGGGCAGTAGTCAACCTTATTACAAGAAGTTAACAGATAAATTTGGCCTGTCTTGAATACATGCTTAAAGACTTGTTACAGCAACTCATTCTTGGGCTACAGCAATTTATCCTTTAATTGGCAGCTGATTCACAGATATTTCATATTCGTTGTTTAATAGTTATGTTCTTGGTATTTGTCAGGCAGCTTTCAAAAGTGACCCTATTTATATAATGGCTGCAAAATCTCTGTCACTTGACCAAAGAATAACTTTATCTTTGATTATTTTTTCCATACAATTCATTCAGTTTCCCAGCCAGTCCTTTTTTTGGATTCAGAGCAGAATGCACATAAGCAGAGTGTGAATCCAGTTAGTGCAAATACTGAAGTGAGAGTAAGGCCTTCCTGCCTGACCCCAGTTGGAGGTTTTGTACTTTCATCCCCAATGGGCTGGATGTACTTTAAAAGATGAATGAGGGGGCTGGAGCCAAAGCACAGCGGGTAGGGCCATCTGGGTTCGATTCCCAGCATCCCTTATGGTCCCCTGAGCCCTGCCAGGGGTAATTCCTGATTGCAGAGCCAGGCCTTGTATATCCCCGGGTCACTGTCACTGTCACTGTCCTTCCATTGTTCATTGAGTTGCTCGAGCGGGCACCAGTAATGTCTCCATTGTGAGACTTGTTGTTACTGTTTTTGGATATCCAATATGTCACGGGTGGCTTGCCAGGCTTTGCCGTGTGGGTGGAATGCTCTTGGTAGCTTGCTGGGCTCTCTGAGAGGGGCGGAGGAATCGAACTCGGGTAGGCTGTGTGCAAAGCAAATGCCCTGCCTGCTATGCTATCGCTCTGGTCCGTATCACTAGGTGTGACCCAAAAAGGAAAAAAAATTTAGAAAAAAAAGATGTATAATGACAAGCCAAGCATTAACGTACTCTTCAAGTGTGTTTGGGCAGAACAATTATGACTTTTTCCCCTCAGAGTCATATATCTTATGCATTAGAAATAAAGTTATTGGGTGAATTAAAGTTTGTTTTGGAAATAAAGATATTGGTTGAATTAAGGAAGACCTCTTGCTTGTTGGTCCAATCAATTCAGTTTTTGTTCTAAAGTAGAATGTTGGGTCAGAGAGATAGTACAATGGGTAAGGTGCCCGCTGGTACTGCATATGGTCCCTGAGCACTGCCAGGAGTGTTCCCCAAGCAGAGTCAGGTGTGGCTCCAAAACCAAAAATTATATAATAAAAAATGGTCCTATCACTGCCCTTTCCCCTTTCTAAGCCTGTCTTAGTGCCGTGTTGCCTCCAGCCCCAGCCACACCCTTGACACTGCTATTTTATCTCACTG